CTATTTTTATGTGAGGATTTTGTGTGGCCGTGGGGTCCACACCCCATTTCCCTTATCCCCGTGTCTTCCTTTCCCTCCCCCAATTCTATTCTTCCCCTCCTTGCACTGAGTTTGATACTCATCTTCCCCATTCCCAAATTTCCTTTTTCATTCTTGCCCATCTCTTTTCTCCGTATGTTTCTCATCTCTCTCTCTGACCACATAGCAACCATAGCAGTGGATCCACCACCACGCAACTTCAATTCCAAGTGCCGGAGTGTCGTTTTAATGTCAGATGTAGCACCGAATGGGTTTTAGATATGGTGTTCGCCAACAACAACCCATTCTTCAACAACTCCAGTTTCAAACCCATTATGGCACAAAATCATCTCGAACCATGTAACTTGAAGCCAGTTATCGCTGATGGATGATGTGCAAGCGAGGAAAACCCAGATGCCCACACCACACCACAGAAGGCAAGAATCAGGACAAAATCAGTCCTTTCCCTTCTGCCCATTTCCCCCCTCTCTCAGATTTCCCAGTCCCCAAATACCAAAACAAACCCACCTCTTGGATCTCATCGCCCCTCCCTCCTCTACATATCCGGCGAAATAAGAATATCAACTATGCAGATTCGATTTTCAACCCAGCAAGAAGGAGAAACGGAGGAGGGTATTTTTGAGAATGTGAAAGTTTCATTAAATTATACTGTTCACCGCCTCTTGAAAGAAAGAAAAACCTGGTTTTGAGAAGCAGCATTTTGCCACTTTTCAACTTAAAATGACAGTGACTTTGAAAATAAACAGAGTTACCAAATACAAATTTTACTTCAGCTTTTTTTCATCCCAATTTTTTTTTAATCACCTCAATGACAAACCAGACCTAAATATCAAAAAGTTTTAACTTCCATTGAAACTTTTAAGGTCAACATTTAACTATGAAGGGTTTCTCGACGAAAACTTGCCTTATCTAAAATATGGGCGGTTTGGAAGTTTGCTTAAGGTATTAAAGTGCTTTATTTGTTCATTTCTATTAATTGTCATGCGCATATTGTCTCACCACTAGAAACAATGCAACAAAAGTTGGGCAAAGTCGACCATTTCTAGGAGTATAAGAGTGAATTTTTAGTGTGTATGAAACATTAGAAGAGGGGAGTACGCCATATATTTATACAATTGGAGAATTTTTTTTTTTTCAAGTGTTCCTCCATTTGTGTAATAACATGTAGCATTATATCTTGTGTTCCAGCCATACTAAAAAATATCTCCATTACTAAACAATGCAGATAAGTGAATTTTTTTTAATAATTTGGTTCGGAGGCTTAAGTTTACTTGATTATTTAAACTTGTGATTAAATCTTACATCATAATTTTATACTTTTACCGTACAAAATTACACATGTGAGTCGTGACATATTATACACACAAAAGAAGATACGAGCGCTAAGTCATAAACATATCAATGTCTTGAAACAATAAAACAATTCTGTCAACTTTATTATGATAATTGTAGTATATTCTTAAACTCATCATAAATTTATTACAGCTCTCATACTAAAATAATTTAGGGTTGGATCATTCTCTAATCCGGTACATGCCTACGACTTGGATTGCAGGTACTAAGACCTCATCACCATTTTCCTTGGCCCTGTAGGGTGGCTCCCCAACTTTAAAATTAGCAGTAATTCTCGCTTCGTATTTAGGCGGCGATTTGACAACGAAAACCTTGTCATGCTTGGTGACATGCAAATGTTTATGTCGTGCCTGCGTCAACGTTGGCGAACATACGACGAGAATTGCTAGCAGCAATGCCAGGAACTTGGTCGACATGTTCTTGATCATCAAGGCCTCCATTGGAAGCTAGTTGGAGAAATTGTTGTTAATTTTCGAAAGGATGTTAATGTGACTTAAAATTGGGTGGTTATTTATATAGGGTATGGTTAGGTCATAGTAACGGTCAACTGGCTTAAATGGACGGTAGAAATGGAAGTAGATTGGTAATTTAGGGTTATTTTTCTGTTGGAGGACGTAATTCCTAAAAACGGTGGGCTGCCCTCTAGTCAACGCCTGGAGTTGGTTAATTAGAAGAATCGATCCCAGTTAGAAATTGGTTGGATTTATTTATTTCTATGTTCACTAGTTTTAGTGATGAAACCAACTTTGTTTAGAGGCTATCCAGTATCTAGATCCCAAATTTGGTTTGTAATCCTCTCTTTTCATTAATGAGTGACCACATTGTCTTAACTAATTGGTTTAATTGTGTATATAAGTATAGCAAATCTCACCTCCAGAGTAGGATGGTATCATGTGTTAAAATAATACTAGCCTAAAACCACACACTTTGTGTGTGAGAGCAGTTTTTTTTGCTTTTTTTTTCTTTTTCGGTAGGGGGTTTGTCGATAGAGATATAGGCGGGTGAGATATTTTAATGACATGTGCTTGAGGGACGGAAAAAAAGCAGTACAATAATTTTTTGTAAAATTACCTTAATGCTCGTGATTGATCTTTTATGATATTTTTATTAAGGGGTGTGATATCCACACACCCCTTTTTACTTCTCCCACATCTTTTTGGTTTTCAGCCGTCGGATCGGATGAATTGAAGAAGATCAGCGGACAGAAATTAACAAGGGTGTGTGAGAAATAAAAAAATGATGTGTGGATAGCACACCCCTTTATTAAATTGTGAATGATAGTCAAATCGTCTTTTCAATATCTTTTGATTGAGAAAACTGGTTTGCTAATAGACAGTATATATGACAATGAGATTAATAATTATGAGATTAAACTTTTTAACAGTTAAATAATAATTTTAGGCATGTTCAGTAATCATTTCTTTTTCTTTTTTTTTTGTTTTTACCTTTTGTTTGAGATGTGGGAAAAGTAGATTGGAGAAGGGAGGTGGGACAAAGAAGAGTTGTTGAAAGAAAGAGAAGAAAATAAAGAAGAATGAATGCAAACAAAATCTTAAAAGTTAAAATAACTTGAAATAGTTTTTTGTTTTTAGTTTTAAGTTGTTGAGAATGAATCACAAACTGATGGAGGAGGAATTTTATATGAGTTTATAAGTAAATTGGGTTACTCTTCATGTTGCCAATTGATTTTATGGTGGATCTCAACCTACTTCAGCTTAACAGTAAGGTTGTCCCACATGTGAAGCTCAATGACCATCTGTGCTCCATGTTACCGAATTGTGTTATTTACGTGTTTGGCATGAAAATTCGCCATACATGAGGGGGGCGTATTGAGAATGAATCCCATATTAATAGGAGGATGGACCTTGTGTGGTCTTATAAGTAAGTTGATTTACACCCTATATTTACAATCGGTTTAATGGTGAAACCTTATATGACTATTTAGTCCTATGGTCTAGTAGTATTCTTCTTCACTTGTAAGTGAAAAGATCTTAGGTTCGATTCTCGCCAAATGTGAAGTTGAACCACATTATTGCTAGCTCATTATGAGGTTAAGCCCATCCCCCATCCCCATTTTCCTTAATGTAATAATATCGTTTGTTAAAAAAAAGAAAGTGAAACCTCAACTTTCTTTATGATATCATAGTCAGGTTGTCCTACGTGTGAAGCCCATTAGCCACACGTTCTTCATGTCATTCCATTTATGTTGTCCATGTGCTAGGTATGAAAATACGCTAAGTATGAGGGGCCTGTTAAGAATGAAACCCACATTGATGGGAGGATGAACCTTGCACGAGCTTATAAGTAAATTGAACTGTTCATATTGTTAATTCATTTTATGATGGAATCTCAACTTCTTTCATTATCATGTATTCATTTTCCTTATACATTTTTTCAACATGTCTAGGATCATAATTGCTCTGTTATTCAATAAAAACGAAAGACAAAAAATAAAAAACCAAATGAATAACAAACGGGCCCTTAACTCTTGCTTTTACCCTAAGGGGGTGTTTGTTTTCCCTCACTAAAGTTCACTGGACTGGACTGGACTAAGGGTTAGTCCAATCCCGTGTTTGTTTCCCATAGGGCTTAGAGTTAATGAGACTAGCTCTCACTCGTCCCGACTAAAACAGGGCCTAGTCGGTCTTTGCTAAGCCCCCCAAAAACCATGGGATTGCTAATCCCGTCTCCAGAACTTGCATAGGACGATCGCATGCAGCAAGTCTTGTGAACTACAAATCTGCAAGAATGCTTCTGGGCGACTCCGTTTGTCAACCCATGTCTAGATCTAAAACACAGCCCTACCTACTGCCTAAATCTCAACACCAAAATTCAAAAACATATATGCAAAACGATAACAACAACAATCCCAATAGCAAAATTCTTCCTTATTCCCGAATATTCCCAGAAAATTTCCAAATTTTTTTCCTTTGCCCCAGAAAATTTCAGAAAGAATGGATAGAGAAGGGGAGAGAGTAGCTTTGGGACAAAGAGAAATGGAGAGACAGAGAGGGAGGGGAGAGTAGCACGGGGGACGATTTGCAAGAAAAATGATTTGAAGGATGTTGTCTTGCAGGAAAGAAGAAGGAGAAAAGAAGTGATGGGGAACGAAACTAAAGAGGAAGAAAATGGAAGAACTCTCCAGAGAGAGCAGTGGAGTGTCTGGCTGTGTACTTTGGAAATAAAAAAGAAAAAGCTTGATTTAGTAATAAAATATTATTGAATTAATAATAAAATATTATTAGATGTGTATTATATAATATAATATTATAGTTATTAATTATCCTGTTTTTTAGTCCGACGCTACACCAAACGCTTCACTAAGCTAGTCCAGCTTAGTCTAGTCTAAGTCAGTCCAGCTTAGTCCCTGAAGTTAGTCCAGTCCGAGACAATCCGGTGCAACAAACGCACCCTAATAGGTTATTGGACTGAAAAGGAAGAGATACCAATGGCGCAAAGAATAGCACCTTGGATGGGTTATTTAAGTGGGCTGCCTGTCTAACCGCAAGGTCCACAACCCATTTTTCTCAAGCGGGTCTAAAACGGGCAAAATCCGTGCTCCGAGTCCGACCCTAGAAACCCACCTTTACCAGTCGGTTATTTCCAATTGGATCATCGTCTCGTTTCGTCGCAACTCACAGCTCCATTGCTCTCTAACCATTGGGCTCGGCCCTCTCTCTCTCTCTCTCCCCTCCCCTCTGAACTCACTGTAATTCCTTTCTTTCTCTGCAATCTTCATCACGTCGGGCGTAATCTCGATCAGGTAACCCTATTCCTCTCTCTCTCTCCCTCGCCCACGCACACACAGAGATATACGTGTGTATGCATATGGTGGTTTTTTCGCAAGTGAGATCTCGGTAGGGAATGCAGTCGCCGTAAACGACGTCGTAGACTTAAGTAATCTTCGCCTGTGAATCAAATTCGTGTTACTTTGATAGGGTTCGTGATCATTTGGGTTAGAATTTTTGGAATCAAAGCTAAAAGTTTATTTGAATTTAATTGGAGCTTATATTAGATGATAATGCTTTGCCCTAAATCAAATAGTAAGTTATTATTTGATGATTTTTTGGGGTGTTTGTAGTTTCTTCTTCTTTTGCATGCCAATTGGACTTTTTTTTTTTTTTTTTGGTCAATAGTGGTATCTTGTTACTAAGTTTCTAAGAGGACCGTCAGGGTAAACACCCCATTAGTTTCGTTTCGTTTCGTTTCGTTTTCGGGTTTTAAGGGAAAGGGAGGTTGTGGGTGCATTCACCAGTCTAAATTGTGTAATTGCAAGTCGCATAATTAGAAAAGAAGTTACGTTGTTGATATGAAAGTTTTGCACGCATGGGGTTAGTATGCTTGGAAGTTTAATATATCAATTCTGTGATGTGGCTTTGTTTGATTATGTTAGTTTTTTCGAGGTTTGTGTTTTTCAGTTTTACATCGTCTTTTGTTTGTGTGGATTGGGTGTTAATTTAAGCCTGAAATGCCTTGTAACTCTTGTTATATAGGTTTCTGTGAGTCGAGACGAGTACGGAGATGGATCACCATGAGGAGGAATGCCGTGCTGGCAATGAACCTCATGGGAAGCAAGATGATGAGGTAAGTCGCTGCATCTGTCACTTTTAGAGATCGTTAGTTTCATTGCCCCTTTTTAATATTCTTTCTTTATTCCTGAGTCTTGGAACATGTAGTGAGATGGAACTTTTTGGGAACTAATTAGTCACAAGCTTTGGATATAAGCTTTGAAACCACTATATTTAATTTGTTATATTTATTCCTCATTGAGCTAAGGATGGACAATTTTTACAATAATATTGTAGAGGAAAATTTGAAAATTAAATTAATAGTTGTGTTACTTGTGTTGTAAATTGGATGTCTTTCAGAAGTGATTTTGGTAAGGTAGTTATTGATTCTTTTTTGCAGGAAGCTGCTGCTCGGCTTGAGGAAATCAGGAAGTCTATTGAGGGAAAGATGGCTCTTCGTCAAAGCAATCTGAACCCCGAGCGGCCTGGTAAGACTACAAGTGAATGATGAAATAATTATTAAGTTCTTATAATGAGTGAAAATGTATGAGGGAAGAAGACTCATGTAATCTTGCAAAGTTGCCATTCCTAATGAAATAAATTGCAAACAAAGGGATGATGGCTGGCACTTTTTGTAAGGTTGTTCTATGCTGCTACTATTATACTAAAAAGATTTAATCCTATTCTTTTTTTTTCAAATACTTGAGGTCCTCCACATGAGTGCTGCTTAGTTCAGTATGAAGTCATACCACATTAGATGTCTAATAATCTATAATTTACTTGTAATTTCTCAAAACTAGTGTGTTGGTGTAATATTATAATGCTGATACACTTTCATCTACCTTATAATTCCTGACACTTTGTTGACGCTTCCATGTTACATTTTGGCATTTTGGGGAAGCTTCTTGCTTCATTTAAGGTTATTAGTGTTTTTTGTTAAAAAGGCTAATGAACATTAAACTGAAGGGGATTGAGGATCATTTCGCCCTTTAAAGGTGTGTTTTTTTTTTTTTTTTTTTTTTTGCCCCTGCCTGTTTTGGGTAGGTTTGCTTTTGACTGTTATACAACAACAACAACAACAACAAAGCCTTTTCCCACTTAGTGGGGTCGGCTATATGAATCCTAGAACGCCATTGCGCTCGGTTTTGTGTCATGTCCTCCGTTAGATCCAAGTACTCTAAGTCTTTTCTTAGTCTCTTCCAAAGTTTTCCTAGGTCTTCCTCTACCCCTTCGGCCCTGAACCTCTGTCCCGTAGTCACATCTTCGAACCGGAGCGTCAGTCGGCCTTCTTTGCACATGTCCAAATCACCGGAGCCGATTTTCTCTCATCTTTCCTACAATTTCGGCTACTCCTACTTTACCTCGGATATCCTCATTCCCAATCTTATCCTTTCTCGTGTGCCCACACATCCCACAAAGCATCCTCATCTCCGCTACACCCATTTTGTGTATGTGTTGATGCTTCACCGCCCAACATTCTGTGCCATACAACATCGCTGGCCTTATTGCCGTCCTATAAAATTTTCCCTTGAGCTTCAGTGGCCTACGACGGTCACACAACACGCCGGATGCACTCTTACACTTCATCCATCCAGCTCGTATTCTATGGTTGAGATCTCCATCTCATTCTCCGTTCTCTTGCAAGATAGATCCTAGGTAGCGAAAACGGTCGCTTTTTGTGATCTTCGCTAGATTGCTCCGGTCATTAATGTGGATAAGTATATAAATGGATAGAGATAGGAAAGCAAACACAAGATGTACGTGGTTCACCCAGATTGGCTACGTCCACGGAATAGAAGAGTTCTCATTAATTGTGAAGGGTTTACACAAGTACATAGGTTCAAGCTCTCCTTTAGTGAGTACAAGTGAATGATTTAGTACAAATGACATTAGGAAATATTGTGGGAGAATGATCTCGTAATCACGAAACTTCTAAGTATCGGAGTGTGGTGTCGTCTTGACTTGCCTTATCTGTCTCATAGGTAGATGTGGCATCTTCTCTGGAAGTACTCTTCCTCCATCCAGGGGTGGTATCTTTAACTGGTGGAGATGCACAAGGTAATGTATCAATTTCACTTGAAGCTTACTTGTAGTTTCAAGCTTGGTCAAGCGCGATACAAACCATGTAGTAGGAGTCCCCCAAGTCGCCGAGCTAGGGGGTCTGCTGAAAGAGGTGACAGACAAGGTAAGCAATCAGAGCTCCGACCGATTGTTCACCTTCTCCCCATCTTGCAGCAGCATGAAGGATAAAGAGAAGAAAAATGAGAAGAGATGATATGAGATACTTTTGCTTTTGAAGAAGTAACTTTCCACAGGCTTATTCTTGAACTGAGCTGGAGGGTTTTCTGGTTTCCTCCAGAGTATAAGGCCGACTGAAGAATTTGAGGGTCAAAACAAGTCCATCAAATCTAGAGTACGTTCCACCCTGCTGATATGGGATACTTTTGCTTTTGATAGAGTAATGGATGTATCGGCACGTGTGCTGTTACGCTTGTCTCCACATGCTTCCTTGTATCCTTCGCACTTGCCCTATCTGTTCCTCAAGCAGATGCGGAATCTTCCCTGGAAACATAAGATGTTGAAGATGAGTACTCGAGAGCAATGCCAGGTAAGTAATCAGGTAAGGGGTTCCAGGCAGTCAGTTCCTGGCTGGAAGCTTGATTCCAAGTGCTAACTGATTGCTCTCTTTCTCCTTGTCTTGCAGGTAAAAACAAGGCCAAAGGAAAAGACAGGGAAAAAGCATGATATGGGATACTCTTGCTTTTAACCCTGATGATATGAGATATTCTTGCTCTAGTATAGCTTGTTTGCAGAGGTATTATCGGGGGGAAAGAAAGCTGAATATTTCGAAAGGCTTCGTTGGGAGTGCCCTCTCAGATATGATGAAGGGTTGAGCATTTTTGCAGGTCTGCCTGTCCGTTGAGGATGGAGGTCGACATATATAGGAGTCTCCCTAACAACAAGTAGTAATGCTATTCATTTACCCTGCTTGGTCATAGCACGGTAGTGGGAGCTGCCAGTTTCACATGTTTTAACTCTGTCAGAGCACTTTGAAAAAGTGGTCTGTGGTATCTGGCTCTCGAGATTCGGAGAGCGATGCCTCTTCGATTTTTGAGAAAGCAATCATGCTGGGGGTCTGGCTCTCGAGATTCGGAGAGCAGTGTCTCTTCGATTTTTGCGGAAGTAATCATGTTGGGAGTCTGGCTCTCGAGATTCGGAGGGCGGTGCCTCTTCGATTTTGGAGCAAGCAATCCTGTTGGGAGTGTTGTCTCGAATGTGAGTAAAGGTTGGGCATGTTTGCTAGTCTACCTTGCCCCGAAGCACAAAGGTTGACACACAGGAACTTTCCAATTATCTAGCAATGGTACTGTTCCTTTACCCTCTCTTCGCTTTTGAGAAAGTAGTCATGTTGGGAGTCTGGCTCTCGAGATTCGGAGGACGGTGCCTCTTCGATTTTGGAGCAAGCAATCTTATTGGGAGTGTTTTCTCGAATGTGAGTAAAGGTTGGGCATGTTTGCTAGTCTACCTTGCCACGAAGCACAGAGGTTGACACACAGGGACTTTCCAATTATCCAGCAGTGATACTGTTCCTTTACCCTTGTGGGTAATAATATGGTAGCTAGACCTTCAAAATTTATGGGTCTAAACTTTGTTAGTGCTGTTTCTTTGCTATTCTTTTACCCTTCTTGGTCAGAGCGATGTAGTGGGAGCTGCAAGCTTCACGTGCTCAACTTTGGCAGAGAACTTTGGCAAAGTTATCTGTGGTACCCATGAGCTATTGTTGCGTGTGGGAAGTGGGTGATTGAACAGTAAGATTCATGAGTTTTCTACTTCCCCAGAAGTCTTCGACAGAATGCCCATAATTTCCGCAAAGCTGAGTGTGCGTGTGACAGGTGCTGACAAGGCTGGAAAAGTAGGTGCCTCTTCGATTTCTGAGATCGGCCCTCGTGGTCTCTGGGGAGCCCAGCTTTTGAGAAAGCGAGCGCCTCTTCGATTGATTTGGAGAACGATGCCTTATCGATTTTTGAGAAAGCAATCATGCTGGGGCTCTGGCTCTCGAAGATTCGGGGAGCAGTGTCTCTTCGATTTTTGAGAAAGTAATCATGTTGGGAGTCTGGCTCTCGAGATTCGGAGGGCGGTGCCTCTTCGATTTTGGAGCAAGCAATCTTGTTGGGAGTGTTTTCTCGAATGTGAGTAAAGGTTGGGCATGTTTGCTAGTCTACCTTGCCACGAAGCACAGAGGTTGACACACAGGGACTTTCCAATTATCCAGCAATGGTACTGTTCCTTTACCCTCTCTTCGATTTTTAAGAAAGTAGTCATGTTGGGAGTCTGGCTCTCGAGATTCGGAGGACGGTGCCTCTTCGATTTTGGAGCAAGCAATCTTATTGGGAGTGTTTTCTCGAATGTGAGTAAAGGTTGGGCATGTTTGCTAGTCTACCTTGCCACGAAGCACAGAGGTTGACACACAGGGACTTTCCAATTATCCAGCAGTGATACTGTTCCTTTACCCTTGTGGGTAATAATATGGTAGCTAGACCTTCAAAATTTATGGGTCTAAACTTTGTTAGTGCTGTTTCTTTGCTATTCTTTTACCCTTCTTGGTCAGAGCGATGTAGTGGGAGCTGCAAGCTTCACGTGCTCAACTTTGGCAGAGAACTTTGGCAAAGTTATCTGTGGTACCCATGAGCTATTGTTGCGTGTGGGAAGTGGGTGATTGAACAGTAAGATTCATGAGTTTTCTACTTCCCCAGAAGTCTTCGACAGAATGCCCATAATTTCCGCAAAGCTGAGTGTGCGTGTGACAGGTGCTGACAAGGCTGGAAAAGTAGGTGCCTCTTCGATTTCTGAGATCGGCCCTCGTGGTCTCTGGGGAGCCCAGCTTTTGAGAAAGCGAGCGCCTCTTCGATTTCTGAGATCGACCTTCGTGGTCTTAGAGCAGCTCAACTTTTGAGAAAGCAAACGCCTCTTCGATTTCTGAGATCAACCCTCGTGATCTCTAAGCAGCCCAGCTTTTGAGAAAGCAAACGCCTCTTCGATTTCTGAGCAGGCGCCTCTTCGATTTCTGAAGCTCCGTCGAGTGCAGATTTTTATAGGGGCTGGCATTAAGTTCCAAAGCACACTTGAATCTCCACCAGTAGAAGCTTCATTCTTGCACTTCTAAGATCTTGATTTGTCCGACCTCTTCTCTCTTCAACACCTTTGAAAATGTCTGGCCCCTCCGACCGTCGTTTTGACTTGAACCTTGTTGAAGAGGCAGCCCCGCCTTCTCCAGACAACATATGGCGCCCATCCTTCGTCTCCCCTACTGGTCCTCTTACCGTTGGGGATTCCGTGATGAAGAATGATATGACCGCTGCGGTGGTGGCCAGGAACCTTCTCACCCCCAAAGATAACAGACTACTTTCCAAACGGTCTGATGAGTTAGCTGTTAAGGATTCGCTGGCTCTCAGTGTTCAGTGTGCAGGTTCTGTGTCTAATATGGCCCAACGCCTATTTGCTCGAACCCGCCAAGTTGAATCATTGGCGGCTGAAGTGATGAGTCTCAAACAGGAGATTAGAGGGCTCAAGCATGAGAATAAACAGTTGCACCGGCTCGCACATGACTATGCTACAAACATGAAGAGGAAGCTTGACCAGATGAAGGAAACTGATGGTCAGGTTTTACTTGATCATAAGAGATTTGTGGGTTTGTTCCAAAGGCATTTATTGCCTTCGTCTTCTGGGGCTGTACCGCGTAATGAAGCTCCGAATGATCAACCTCTGATGCCTCCTCCTTCTAGGGTTCTGTCCAGTACTGAGGCTCCAAATGATCCCCCTCCGGTGCCTTCTCTTTCTGGGGCTCTACCGACTGCTGAGACTTCTCCTAAGCAACCTTTGTGAAGGCTCCCTCTTGTGTGTTTATTTTGACTCATGTATATGTACATATTTGTAGCTTATCGGGGATATCAATAAATAAGCTTTCCTTCATTTCAACGTATTGTGTTAAATACACCGAAGCCTTCTTCGCTAAGTTCTTTGAATTTTCTTTTGTTGAAGCTTGTATGTTGAAGCTTTCTGAGTGGAGCATGTAGGTTGGGGTAGTGTTCCCTTAATTTCCCGAGTGAGGAAAACTTCTCGGTTGGAGACTTGAAAAATCCAAGTCACTGAGTGGGATCGGCTATATGAATCTTAGAACGCCATTGTGCTCGATCCTGAGTCATGTCCTTCGTTAGATCCAAGTACTCTAAGTCTTTTCTTAGAGTCTCTTCCAAAGTTTTCCTAGGTCTTCCTCTACCCCTTCGGCCTTGAACCTCTGTCCCATAGTCGCATCTTCTAATCGGAGCGTCAGTAGGCCTTCTTTGCACATGTCCAAACCACCGTAACCGATTTTCTCATCTTTCCTTCAATTTCGACTACTCCTATTTTACCCCGGATATCCTCATTCCTAATAAATTTACTATAGAAATTTTTATAATTAGATAAGTTCATTGCGAAGATATTTTATACTTCAGGGTTTCATGTCTTTCTTTTTGCAGATTTTCTTGTTGACATGTTTGTTTTACGCTTTTTCAATATAATCACCTGGCTAACCAAAAACACAATATTGATAGCAAAGTTGACATGTATGATTGCTACATGATACTGGAGAATAACAAAATTTATTTTGACTTCCAGACACAGGATTCCTTAGGACACTGGATTCTAGCATTAAGCGCAACACAGCGGTTATTAAAAAACTGAAGCAGATAAATGAAGAGCAGCGGGAAGGGTTGATGGATGACTTGAGAGTTGTCAACCTGAGCAAATTTGTCAGTGAAGCTGTTACTGCTATTTGTGATGCCAAGCTTAGATCGTCAGACATACAAGCAGCAGTCCAGGTTGCTTTTATGATTTTAATTGATATTTCAGAAGCATTTATATATATATATATATATATATTTTCCTTTTACTCTTTTTATATTTCTTTTGAAGTTTTACTTAATCAAGTTCTTTGGGTCATCTATCCATGATTTTACTTTCAACATATTAGTCTGGATTTCCTCCGGTGAATGAATTAGAAAATATTTGGCTAATGCTTTTGCACAGTGAGTTTGCTTAAAAATTTAAGAAACAATATGATTATCTTCAGATCCTAACATTTCTAGAATTACACGAACTTCCAGTCATGTAGTGTTGTACTCGCAGGTTCCAAAATGCTGATCTCTATTTTCTTATCTTATTTAAGAATAGACGACAGCACTTGCTGATTGACAAGGTGTATAATATCGAAATGCTTGGTACTATTTCTGCTGAAATGGACACTGAGCTATCTGATGTTGTTTTGTCTAGTTTTTGGGTCTTTGGATAGATGATAAGTTGCCTCACCATGCCGTTATTTGTATTGGTTTCAAGGTTCTTGCTTCTCATTCCGTTGTTCACATGCATCCAGTTAGATGTCTTTGGGTATTTAATGTTTTTCCTGTTTTAATTTTGGAAAAAAATTCTGAATATTGCTGTTAACTATTTGGATTTTTTTCGCCCAAAAAAGAAAACTAGTAGAGTGTATCACGCAGGTCTTTACTGGGGAAGTAAGTTGGTAACACTTTTCAGCTAGTATGTAAGGATGATAGGTTTGGCAGTAATTGAATTCTCATAGAGAAAAAATGAAGTTACTTTTAAATGGGCAGTATGTCTGAGCGGGCATGCACACCTGCAAGCTTTACCTGTTCATTTTGTAGAGCATAAAATACATTTTTGAATGCAATACTTCTGACACTCCTCTATTATTCGAAGATCTGCTCTCTGCTCCATCAAAGGTACAAAGACTTCTCCCCAACTCTGCTTCAAGGTCTTTTGAAAGTCTTCTTTCCAGGGAAGTCTGGGGATGACTTAGAAGCAGACAAGAACCTGAGGGCCATGAAGAAGCGAAGCACTTTGAAACTCGTTTTGGAACTTTTCTTTGTTGGAGTTATAGAAGATGGTGGTATTTTCGTGAATATCATAAAGGATCTTGCCAGTGGAGAACACTTAAAGGATCGGGATACTACTCAGACAAATTTGACTCTTCTTGCTAGTTTTGCTCGTCAGGGAAGAATGTTTCTTGGCCTTCCACTCGCTGGGCCAGAAATTCATGAAGAGGTACGAATTCTCTTTGGCTTTGTTCATTATTTAGTACATTCCATATATTTCAATATTGTTCTACTTGCCTTATTTGGCATTCCATTGAAGTTGTTTTATAGTATCATACAGGCAGAAGGCGTGACTGACTGTAATTACGAGTCACTTATATTTATCCTGAATTTTTGGAACAGTTTTTTAAGGGCCTTAATATCACGACAGATCAAAAGAAATTCTTCAGGAAGGCATTTCAAACATATTATGCTGCTGCTGCAGAACTGCTGCAATCCGAGCATACTGTAAGAGTTTCCTTCCTGACCTAAGATAGCTCTCTCTCTCTCTCTCTCTCTCTCTCTCTCTCTCTCTCATAGTGGAATACTGGTTGCAACTTATAAATAATGAATTTTCTTGATACTTTAAGTCACTTCGCCAAATGGAGCATGAAAATGCTAAAATCCTTAATGCTAAAGGAGAGCTCAGTGATGAAAGTGTCTCATCATATGAGAAGCTGCGGAAATCTTATGAACATTTGTACCGCAATGTCTCATCGTAAGTTGCTTTACTATTTCACTGCAATTATTTGTGATATCTCATATCTGTTATCATGCCCATGACCAGGTCTGTTGGGTCTGGCAATGTTGTGATTTAAGTCTTCTTCCACTTTCTAGTCGTCTATGTTACATTGGATCCAGGATCCTTCTTTTAAACCTTGCATAGCTTAATTGCTCAAACTACTCTATTGAACATGTAATGATTGTTGTTATCCCAATTTTCATAGGATTGTCATTTTGCAAAAACCTGCATAGTTCTCCAACGTAAATAATACAATAACATAGGATGAAATAAACCAGATGTAACCGAATTATTAATTAACTAGTTTGGCATACTAGTCTTGTGGTTCTGACATGGGAATTTTACTGTCCCTCCGGAATTGTAGATAATGGTCTAAGACATGAAATGTTAGCATGGGCAGAAAAGATTCTAGCTGGAGATTGCAAGTATGAGGGAGATGATGTAACTTCACTTTCACTTACTGGAAAGTAACTAACTTTGTTAAACCACTCTAAAGTATGCATTAGCTAGGTGCATAATATTTGTACTTGATAATCCCCTACGCCTAACAAAAGAAAAAAAAAACAGAAAAAGTAGTAGGAGCAAACTATTACTAGAGAGAATATCTAGGAAATTTAACAGCAGCATGACTATACCCATAGCTGCAAATGAAAGCATCTGATTTCAACATCTGTACTGTACTTCCAGATGCTCCAGCTTTCTTTAATTTGAAGTCACACTAGCCACTAATTACTAAAATTCTTGATTGATTATTCTTCTCTATTAGTTTCCAGATAACTTACGTTAGAAACTATTTTACCACAGCTTAGCAGAAGCACTTGATATGCAGCCCCCAGTAATGCCAGAGGATGGTCACACAACAAGGGTTACTAGTGGGGAGGATGCTTCATCTCCTGTTGCTGGAAAGGATTCTTCGGCACTCGAAGCCATATGGGATGATGAAGATACAAGGGCTTTCTATGAATGCTTACCAGATCTTAGGTTTGTTTAAGTCGAATGATTTTTTTCAGTTACTTGTCAAATGGGCAAAAGAATGTCTTTTATGTATTTCATTTGTGTCGGTCATTATAAGTCTCTTAGTTAGATGCTGTTTCTTATACCACAGAGGTTGACCTGAAATGTATGTTTATGTTATTTCTAGAGCATTTGTTCCGGCAGTATTATTAGGAGAAGCAGAGTCTAAAAGCAGTGATCAATCTGCAAAGACCCAGGAACAACCAACTGTAAGGAATAAAATCTCATCATTTATCACCAACTTTTGCTATTTGTAATCAAATTTGTTCCATATTCACTAATCTTGGTCCTTCAGAGCTAGATCTATTTTACTGTGATCGTTCTCCTCATTTATCTCCTGTTTTCACTTGAGTATCGTAGCATTGTGTGGCTTAATCTGTGGACAGTATATATGATGGGTACTTTGCCTTCTTTGAAAGAATAAGATTTGTGTTTTCTCTGGCAAAAGTTTATACTTGTATTTATATACTCAGATGAACATTTTTTATCTTCATTGTTAAGGAACCCGCACTTGAATCAGACCAAACTCAACAAATTACAGAAGATACTGGAGAGGCTTCTGCAGATGTTGGTGCTTTACAAGAGGCCAAAAGCACAGAGAAAGGAAAGGACAAGGAAGAAAAAGATAAAGACAAGATCAAAGATCCAGACAAAGAGAAAGTTGACAGAAAAGGAGAGAACGACAAAGAGAAGCTCAAAAGTATTGAAGGGACAAATTTGGATGCTTTACTGCAGAGGCTTCCTGGTTGCGTGAGCCGTGATCTTATTGATCAGTTGACTGTAATTGTACCTCTGTCTGAGCTTTACTACTGTTATTTCCCACTCCCACTCCCACTCCTCTCTCTCTCTCTCTCTCTCTCTCTCTCTCTCTCTCTCTCTCTCTCTCTCTCTCTTACACACACACACATTTGGCTATCTAACCATATGATTCACATTGAAGATGTTATTATATATTTTTAGGTGGAGTTTTGTTATTTAAATTCAAAAGCAAATCGGAAAAAGCTTGTGAGGGCATTATTTAATGTCCCTAGAACATCATTGGAGCTACTAGCTTACTACTCGCGTTTGGTTGCCACACTCTCGACTTGTATGAAGGACGTCTCATCCATGCTCCTAGCGATGGTGGAAGAAGAGTTCAACTTCTTAATTAATAAAAAGGTCGGGTTTTACATGTGATGTATTTTGTTGAATAGGAGTGGCTGGTTCTTCTACAACAAAGTTCACTTGTGTCGCTTTCATTTGAGTTCATGATTTTCATATTAAATTTTAATTTTGTGCAGGACCAAATGAACATTGAAACGAAGATTAGGAACATTAGATTTATTGGAGAACTCTGCAAGTTTAAGATTGCACCAGCTGGTCTTGTCTTTAGTTGTTTGAAGGTAATATGCACATAACAGAATTGATGTATAGGTTCTGGTAAAGTTGTGCATTATTGATAAGGAAAATGCTAGGGAGACCACATTTTGTAAACCACATGTGAACCACCTCTCTAATAGAGTTGGGATCTACTTGTATTAGTGGGCCTTGCCTCTATTAGAGAGTTTATTTGTAGTTTTCAAAATATGGTTTATCTAGCATTTGCCCAATTGATAATATCTTCAGTACATTGTGTTTATTATCGGCCGTAATATGTCTCACTCTGAGCTGCACTTATGCTTGGAGAAAGGTTCTTCTTACCTTTTCCTTTCTTTTAATAGGTCTTTGTAGGGGTTGCTGAAAATATTTTTAGATGCTTTGGCTACAGATTCAATGTGTATTTACTATTTTGTAAATTTGTATCAAATTTTTTTGTACCTTTTGATTGCAGGAGAATATATGAAATGCACGTCTTTGCAGTCAACCTTTTTTGCTCTCATTTTATTTACTTCTTTATTTAACTGCAACTTCTGTGTGGTAAATCATAATTTAGAAGATGGGTTGAAGCAGTCTATGGTATCAGTGAGATTTAAGTTTATATCATTGTGGCATTTAGTTTGTGAGCTGTTTACTTAGCAGTTGTTCTTTTGCTGCCAGGCTTGTTTGGATGATTTCAGTCATCATAACATTGATGTTGCTTGCAATCTTCTTGAGACTTGTGGGCGTTTTCTGTATCGGTCTCCTGAAACTACTGTGCGGATGGCTAACATGTTGGAAATATTAATGCGATTGAAGAACGTAAAAAATTTAGACCCTCGGCACAGCACCCTTGTTGAAAATGCTTACTACCTATGCAAACCACCTGAGAGATCTGCACGGGTCACTAAAGTCCGTCCTCCATTGCATCAGGTGTAAATCGTTTTATTGGTTCAACTCCTCATAATTTATTTTGATATATCCAGCATTTGAATTAACCTTTCATTCATTTATTTCTTTTGCAGTATATAAGAAAGTTGCTATTCTCAGATCTTGATAAGTCTACCATAGAGCATGTGCTCAGGCAACTGCGTAAATTACCATGGGGTGAATGTGAGCCGTATCTTTTAAAATGCTTTCTGAAGGTTCACAAAGGGAAGTATGGTCAGATCCACTTGATTGCTTCTCTCACCGCTGGTTTGAGCCGCTATCATGATGAATTTGCTGTATCTGTTGTTGACGAGGTGCTCTCTTTCATTCCAAAAATCTTTTTGTAGCATTTTAGTTTCCATGCTAAATATGATCCTTTCATAATATGACTGGCCCCCTTTGCTGTGTGGTAGTATCTCTTTTAGATTTGTCTAACTTCCCAGATGCACAAAGTGTGGGGTAGGTTTAGGGAAAGAGGAAGTCTATCTTCTCTTGCTATTAATTAGAATGAAGAAAAACATTGACTAATTGTTCATTCATTTAAAGTCAAGGACATTCTAACTTACTCATTTGTTCTTTTTCTGTATTTATTGATTGGTGCTCGCTGTGACAAATTCAATCTAGTATTAAATTATATGCTGCAACTGACTCAGAAACCTTGAGGCTCAATATACTTTCTCATGATTTGCCTGCCTCATACTTTAGTCAAACAGTAGTCTTGATGCTAGTACCATAATCATCCTAGGGAAAGGATAGGAAAGATGAGGGAGGGGACATGCGACTTTTTAGCAGTCTAAATAGTTTGCGCACATACCATCCATGTTATAGACTTATAGTTCATAATTGGTTTTCAACTTAAAAAATATATACATATATTGTTTTGGGAACCAGTAGAAAAAAAATTAAATATACATTGACATCTCTGAGATATGAAGTGTGCATGTGTGTGTGCAAGTTCAGACATTTCTGATTTTGTCACCAGAGATTTCTCAAAGTTATATCTTCACTTTCAGGTTCTAGAGGAGATACGGCTTGGCCTAGAATTAAATGAGTATGGGATGCAACAAAGACGGATTGCTCATATGCGATTTTTAGGAGAGCTATACAACTATGAGCATGTAGATTCTTCTGTTATTTTTGAAACTCTGTACTTGGTTCTTGCCTTTGGCCATGGCACACCAGAGGTATGTAATTTTTCGTGCATTTCCGTACACCACGATATAGTACTTGAGGAACATTGCCATAGTCAGTGCTAGGCAAACTTATCTTGGTAACTATATACTAAATTAGGTTAAATGCATATTTTAGAATATTATAGTACTATTGGACATTTCTCCAATCTTAATATTTTTATTTTAAAGGAAAACTTTGCGGACTAAAATTGAAATCTCTAAGAATGTATATTCCACAATTAATTGTCACCAGAGTTTATTCATGATTCTAGGGTTTATATTTTTTTATAAATACGTATTTGTTTCTCTCTTATTTTTATAAGAAGGCATAAAGATATTGATGGTTTTATCATTTATTAGTATTATTATGAATCAGAAGTTATTTAAGTTATCTAAATACATGAACACGATGATCTTCTTACTTTGGCCATACTTTCTTTTTCTGTGTTACCAGCAAGATGTACTGGATCCACCAGAAGATTGTTTCCGCATGAGGATGGTTATTACTCTTCTTGAAACCTGCGGGCACTACTTTGACCGAGGCTCTTCCAAGAGGAAACTTGATCGATTCTTGATGAACTTTCAGAGATATATACTAAGTAAAGGTGTACTACCGCTTGATGTGGAATTTGACTTACAGGTCAGTCATGCTGCTCATATTCTGTACCCCACCCCCACAGCTTTTTCTGTGTTTCTTGCTAATGAAAAGCTAGAATCATATAAGATTCTCTTTAGTAATCTGACCTTTATCTAATTTTCGTCTCTTACGTACTGTTCTGTACCTTTATGTGAAATATGCTATTCCAAGAATCTATCTTACCTATAATTCATATGAGATAAATATTACTCTCTATCATTCTACATGGGAAAGCTTATGTAGTAAACCATGTCCAGGACTTATTTGCCGATCTACGCCCCAACATGGCTCGGTACTCTTCCATTGAAGAAGTTAATGCAGCTCTTGTAGAACTTGAGGAGCGTGATCGTACCGTCTCCATTGAGAAGCACTCTGACACTGAAAAGCCTTCAAGGAGGAACACCTCCGACGAAATGTCAGCGAATGGAAAGAGTATTGTAAATGGAACTGGGGAAAATGGTGTAGTTCATGGAAACCTTGGAGATAGTGACAGTGATTCGGGAAGTGGCACCATTGATCGAGATAGACATAATGAAGAAGGATTGGGTGAAGAGAATCATGATGGTGGATCTGACAGTGATGAGGATGATGGTGATGGTGGTGGACCGGCATCCGATGAGGACGATGAAGTCCATGTCAGACAGAAGGTTGCAGAGGTGGACCCTCAAGAAGCAGAAAAGTTTGAGCTGGATCTCAAGGCTGTTATGCAGGTAAGATTATATCACTGTAGTATATGCTCTTGCTGATGCATGACCACAATAGATTCATATTTTATTGTATCGCATATGGTTGTGAACACATTCTGAATGCAATCACGGTCACTAAAATCTTGCTTTCCTATTGTCCGTGGTCTGGAAATGATTTTGTACGTGATGTTATGATGGTGTTATATTTGCGTGCAGTTTTTAACCCGTTAAAAATTTTCTGAATGCAGGAAAGCATGGAGCAACGTAGGCTAGAGCTGAGAGGCCGACCAACATTAAACATGATGATACCGATGAATGTGTTTGAGGGGTCCACCAAGGACCATCATGGACGAGGGGTTGGAGGGGAAAGTGGAGATGAGGCGTTGGATGAAGAGTCTGGAGGAAGCAAGGAGGTCCAGGTGAAAGTTCTTGTCAAGCGTGGTAACAAGCAACAAACAAAGCAGATGTACATCCCTCGGGATTGCTCACTTATCCAGAGTACGAAACAGAAAGAAGCAGAAGAGCTTGAAGAGAAACAAGACATCAAGAGGTTGGTTTTGGAATACAATGACAGAGAAGAGGAGGAGCTTAATGGATTGGGGAACCAAACTCTGAACCATATGCAGAGTGGTGGTCATAGACTTGCCGGCCGTGGCAGCACTTGGGAAGGAGCTAGCGGTAGAGGTGGTGGAGCACGTCATAGATATCACAGTAGTTATTCCGGTGGGGGAGCTTACTACAGCAGGAAAAAGTAAAAAGTGTGATTTTGCAACGAACGCCAGAAAGTCTCTGCTGTGGGATTTCCCTCATTCTGCAGATGTGGTTCGTTCTCTGCAAACTCGTGCTTATATAAATGGAACATTAATCACAACAGACGTTCCTATCTGATGGAGAAGCCATGCCTTTTTGGGACACTCGACTCAGACCATTCCTCTTCACCGCACAAGGTCATATGTTTTGTGGTCTTGTTAGAAGATAGTTGCAGGCGTGAAGAAATAACCAATAGAAGGGAATCGAGATAGCTAACCAGGAACCGAGACAGCAGTGCACAAGAAAGGCGGTCGCGTGATACTGAGGCGCTGATCCGCAAACACACGTTGTTCGGTCGTTAATTAGATCGATTTTACGTTTAGTTTAGAACCTGAAGTATGGGTCTCCCTGCGTGTATATATGTTAATATGAAGTAAATTAAAGATCTGATGCAAACTCTGCTTGGGCTTTTTTGTGTCCTTGTGTGTGCCAATACCGATTTAAGAACTGCCTAAACAGAAATGATCAAATGGAATTTTACCAAGGCCCTTTTTAGTAGGCTTATTTATCATTTTTACTTTTATTTTTTATATTCAGATGATGTTTTACTCTAAACTACTCTAAACTTTTAGTACCATGCCACGTTGATACATTAATGGTCATTAATGTGGGAGGTCTTATAGTCTTACTATCACCATAACTGTAGTTTGTCTTTCTCTCCACCTGAAGTGACGAGTTCGATATCAAATTATTGAAATAGTATGTAAAATTTAGTCTAAATCCCCCACCCTTACAAGTTTTCGTTGTTCTTCAGATTTTCCAAAGATCCAACCCTCACCACCTTACATCCAGGTTTCAAACTACGCTTGACGACTCACCGTCTTACATCCCAAAACTGAACAGCCCAACCGAAACTGTCCCAAATTGTTCCGAATATTTGGTTCTGAAACCGAACCAAGTCTGTTTGCAATTCGGTCTGATTTTGAAATAAAACCGAACCGTGTCCGCTCCTAATTTTTAGCCCTGTGCCCTATCCAAAAAACATATGAGCAAAGTGGCCCACATGTTGCGTAAAGAGTCGTGTGGATATGCGTTTGAGGCATCTGTCATTTTCATGTTGTTAGCTGATCACTTTCTACCAGGTCAATTTGGTGTACTTTCCACCTCCAAAATCAAATATTGGTTTAACAAATTTAGTATTGATTGCATATGTTGCACTCTTTGTCTTTGTTCTAAGGTCCACTCCAGTTCACAGTTAAAACTAGTTGCATATTAGCATATCTAAGAAGTGATGGGAGATTTGTGCAGAGACCATCCAATAGATCAGTTATAATAATAAATATCAAATTCGTCATCTAAGTAAGTTGAACCTTGCATCTCACTTTCATCGGTAAAGAGAATACCATTATGCCGTAGTAGTAGTAGTCCCGTTAGCTTTAGTTGCATCTTCATTATTATGCTAATGGTCCACTCCAATACTTTTATGATTATTAATAATTATTCTTTGCTTCATTTGTTGGGCCTTCACTCTTTACTTTGCAATTCCCCCAACCCTTTCATTGTAATTTCAATCAAGTTGGCCTGGGAAGAACCCTGTAAGGAAGCATGTTAAAAATTAATGGAAAACTCAGCCCCAATTATGGGTAAACAGACCTTGTACTTCTTTTTCTTAATAAGTGGAATTTGACTCCTAATATAGATTGTTGAACCTAAATTTAAAAACTATGATTAGCCTTTTTGGAGGGGTTTTCAAGAGGTTGGTTGTACTACTTTTCTTACAATTTATGCATTCGAAGAAAACTTCCAAAATATGTAAAACACGAGAGTCATTTCTAAGTGAAAGACTATATAGGTTTGAATTTCGTAAATAACGAGTTTGATATTAATTTATTCTCTCAAATCTTCAGTATAAATAATATTATTGTAACTTTGTACATATTTAATGACATATAACTTTGTATATATTCTAAAATATATTTTCTTGTATTCGAAAGTTAAGAGTCAGATTTCTTCTTCCTTACATCGATTGTATCAAACAAAAGAATTGAGTGTCACTTAAAGACCGTGGAGATAAGGCATTGCAAGTTGGAGATGTAAATTTTTCCTTTTCAAGAAAGAAGAGGCTAGAATCTAATTCTATTCCATTGTGTGGAATTTTTGATTCCCAAAATCTTGTGCCCTAATCTTATTTCCAAAAATATTAATCTACCAAAGCTATGGGAGCACGTTATTATAAATTTTACAGCTAAGTTATGCGTGCAACAAATGGAACATGTGGTTCCCACTTTCACCTTTTAGTTCAAAATGTGATACATCAGACGTAAGAACCCACTTAACCAAGGTACTAGAAGGATTAAAACATCTATATGTGTGTAGATTATATATAGGAAATCTTTAAGGAAAAAAAATTTCATTTTTTTTATAAAAATAAAAATTAGTTATTGGGTTCACATTACATCGAACTTTAATGATCCGAACCGTCTATTTATCAAGTTGTACCTCATAGATCATTCTTGCAAACTATTAGCCAAATCAGAAATATTTAAGATATCTAATTGGATTCAAAGAAATTAACGAATACTTTGATATATAAGAAACAACGAAATTTTATCTTGATAATTAAATAAGCAAATGGTTTTGGATTGAATTGAATTTTTGTAAGGATGATCTATGAATTGAGACTTACAAAATAGACGGTTTATATCGTTGAAGTTCGATGTAAAGTGAGCCCCACATCTAATTCCCATTTTTTGAAAAAAAAATAATTCCTTTGAATAAAGAGCCTGATGTGTGTGTGTGTGTGTGTGTATTGATACATGCGATCCACGATCATTGCAAAGGTTCTTGCTTGTTCTTGTTTTTGGTCATAGAAAGAAGAATTCTGACTTTGTTGTCTTCTGCAATGTTCTAATTATATAAAATCAAGTAAAGGATTCAAGTCAAAGATTTAGTTTGAAATATAGTTTTTTCAATTCGCAGTATATTTTATATTTTAATCAAAGATTATTTGGGTAAGATAAGAACATACGCAAAGAATTATGAGGTTTTCTTTGTTAGATGCTAAGTAGGAAACAAAAACGAAACACTTTATTATACTTTGGTAATATGCTTATTGATTATTTGGGAGGGAACTAATACAATTTTAGTGGTTATTAGCATAGCGTTTTTAGAGAATGTATTCAAAGTGTAAAGCATTTAGACATTTTCTTACTTTCGTCGCAGTTATGAACAAGAGAATGTACGAGACAAATTCATAAAAGGAGTGAACATGCAAGATACATAAATGAAAATTGCAAATAGCTAAAAACATTTAAGCTTGTATATCAGTGATCATGAACCAAAACCCAGTTAGAGTAATGGTTCAACAACTAAAATCTATGACCGTTGGTCCCTTAACCCATCAAAAAGTGAAATTATGGTCATTTTTGTCAGCTTTGTCAGAGTTTCCGCTAAAATGAGTCACATGCCACACATGTAAGGCTAAATCAAGGGACAAATATGGAAAACCAAATGAGAAAATTGTAGTAATCCCTCAGCTTTAACCAAATTGGAGCAATGATCCATGAACTTTAATCCAATTTGAGCAATAGCCTATCAACTTTAATCTAATTAGAACAATAGCCTCTTATTTTGACAGAAGTTCTAACGAAGTTCATGAAGGGATCATAGTTGCACATTTGATGAGTACCATTGTTCAAATTAGGCTAAAGGGGTCATTGCTACAATTCTTCAAATAAGTGCATTTTGAAAGAAGCATTAAAATATGTATTTCTTACAAGAATCACTTAAAGTGATTTTTCTAGATTTATTTGAATTTTTATTAAAGATTGGTTTAAAAAGTATTTTCACCAAAAACGATGTTAGTTATTTAAAAACACTTCTAAACAAGAACAAAAATGATAATACAAGTAATACAAGTGCATTTTCAAACAGTATAATTGGGTCACAAAATCACCTATTAATAGTGAAGTTAGTTGGGAAAAATAATTGCCCTACTTATTAAAGCAAGATGCTACCTTGATATTTATTCTCACAAATGTAATAAAATAATATGGAAAATGGCCGACCAAAACACCCAAACGGTACTCGCATTATTTCATGTTTCGAATTATTGGAAAATGCCTTAAACTTGAGTCCACGTTTAATAATATGTGTGAAAAAATAAATGGTAGAAAGGTAGATGGAAAAAGGAGGGGAAAGAATCCTAGTCCAAGGTAAATAGACCCATAACTCCGAGCAAAGCAGTAAGATTGAAAACTTTCGTACGAAGGAGGGGAAGCAGCCACGTCAGTTAGAACCTTAAAAAAAAACCTCATAAACTTGGAAAATGATCATTTTCCTGGTGAATCCCGTAATCGTGATTTAGTGCCGTCTTTGAGATTTTAGGAGCTTCGTGCGAAATTTGTAAAAGGGGTCATCCTTAAGATAGTTTTAAGTTATAAAAAAGTATGACAATATATTGATACTAGAAAACATTCACTTAAATTAAAACAAAACCACTTAGTACTATGGTCTAGTGGTATTCCTCTTCACTTGTAAGTGACAGGTTTTATGTTCAATTCTCACCAAAGGCGAATTTGAAGCACATTATTGTTAGCCCATTGTCAGGCTTAGCCCACTCCCCCACCCCTTTAGAGTAGATTATATCGTTTGTTAAAAAAAAAAAAATCAAAACAAACTTTAGCACTCACTAATTACATATTTACAAATGTCCTTAATAATAAGTACAAAGAGCAACAAATATAACCTTCACTAAATAATCAAAAGCTATTTTATTTTAAACAGCCAAACATGAAAAAAAAACATCAAACCTCTAACTCTAAAGTTTCACTTGAATGTATGACGTTGTTATATAATAAAATTCAGAAATTGCCGTTTTTCATGATGTTATTATTGACACTCAAAATATCTCATTGTACTCCAACTTTTTGTATTTAGAAAGAAAAAAAAAATACTCTTATAAGGAGTGCACAATGCAGTTTAAAGTGATAATAAAAGTAATTTTTTAAATATAGAACATTATTACATGATGTTAGATGTCAAAAATTTAGGGGCCCCTTCAAATTTGGGGCCCTGTACAACTGCACCTTTCGCTCCCCCTCAACGCCCCCTTGTGATTGTGCATAATATATCGTACGATTAGAAATCATTTCAAAATTTAAATTTTAAAATTAAATATAAATAGTACTTAAAGAAAACTAATCGCAATGAATGATATCACGATCACAGGATCCTTAGGATCCTAGAAAAATGATCTGGTGAGAATCATTTTCCCGTAAACTTGCCGACAAATACATGACCAGAAACCATTATTTTTTATCCACTCTTTTACCCAATTGAGACTCTTTGATTTAAATAATCATAAGGAAAAAAAATAAAGAGATTTAATGAGTATAATACTCTTCATGATCGGGGAGACCTTAAAAGTCAGACTACCTGTGGACTTTCTGTATTTTTTTGTACAATATTTTATAATATTAACGTATAAATTAACGTTAAAACGTGGCAGAGCGTTCATAGTAAGTCTTAGCTTTGTCACCTCATATTTTTGGTACAATGTTTTATAATGTTCCGCGA